AGGTGGACGAGGAGGAGACCGGGGGAAGGGGGGGACAGCGAGGCCTACGGAGCACGCGTGGGCAGTCGCACCTGCGGTGAACCACCGAGCTCGAGGCCTACGAGATGGGCTTCTGCCGCTGTCGTCGCTGGCCGTAATCGATGTCGCGGTTCCCCAGCATGATCTCCTCGCCTCGCCTCTTATGATGACAGGTGCTCCATTGCTTATGCTCTTCGGAGATCGTATTGCCCGACCACCAAAACGAACCCCCGCCAATTTACCACCCTGCTGTGCGACTCTCTCTCTCTCTCGCGGGCATGACTGTGTGGTGGGGGCCGACAGGTGCAGGAGTCAGCGTGACCTCAGCTAAGGGCCCCGCAGGTGTAAGCGGCGCGTACGATTAGGGGGTCCCTGGAACGGATATGTGACACGCCCACTCAGATTCCTTGCTCATACTTGCTGGATTGCAAAATGGGCTGTAATGGGCCTCTGGAAGCCCGGCCCAAAATAGAGGGCTACTTGCTTGAATTGTGCATGAAATTACGATCGACTTGTCTCATATAAGACATAAATCAACCTCAGGAAATAAACCATATCCATGTCACGAAGGTCACAATAAGTTAAACAGAAAAAGGACACTTCATGTCCCAACCAAAGCTCAAAGTAGAACACTGTCTCATTAGGGGGGGGCTTTCTGTCGGTGAACACCGAGAGATGACGAAACGTCAAATCGTACTTAGCCGACCATGGTGCTGTCGTACAAAAATAGTTGCCATTAGCAACCTACTCAAGCCTTTCTGCAGCAGAACGCCTCATACCATCTAAACGGCAGCAGCAGGGCAACGAGACGACATTCTGTATCAGTGTCTGCTAAAAGATCTGCAACACTTTTTGTGATGGCATTCAATATGGAGGAGTGGATTCAGGTGAACGCGGAATGCACTTGTTGTGGGCGTGCATTGTATCATGTGCCGCCGGGGAGAAGCGAAGACATATATATGGCATGTAATTATATATAACTCTTTTCCTACATTCCAAATAATTTTCTACAAAACACACATTAATTTGCTTTAAATTTGGAGATGCGGGGAATCGAACCCCGTGCCTCTCGCATGCAAAGCGAGCGCTCTACCATATGAGCTACATCTCCAATGACACTTTCTTGAGATACAAATTAATCTGAAGGTGGGATCGACTCGGATGCGGATGCGTATTCCGTGTGGTCTTATTTGGCTAGCCGACGACCCGTTAAGCGGAGGTTGCGTGGCAGGAATTGGCGGCTCCGAGTGGATACTTATCCGGATAAACTTAAAATTAAATTAGAGACAAACCCGATGGGCCCCACAGCGCCTCTGAGACAAAAACGCATCCCAAACTGTTTCAGAAGCTGTACGATGATGTGTTGGTTCCACAGCGACTCTCTTCAGTGCTCATTTTTCGTGGTTGACCCTCTCATGTACAGATCTCGTCATTTTTACTTCCACGTGAGCGCCAGGTTGGATCGTCGCCATTCGAATCCATCAATTATTGACACCGTGGTTGACTTGATCACACACACACGACAATGCCGTATAGGGAACGGCGATCCGAACCAACACGCAAGCGGATCAGGACCATCCGAAAGCCGACACGCGTCCCTTACGCCCTCTCCCATACGGGCCATGGTTCGGCCCATTCGAACCTCGTGCGCCCCAGCCACCTTGCTAACCATAAAATAATCCCATACGGTGTTTGCGCGTCACACTGTTCCCAACCACCTCAGCCTTATTAATTGAGAGGATTACACTAATCAACTCTACCGTCAACAACCAATAGCTATTATTATTATTATTATTATTATTATTATTATCATTAGAATTAGATTCCTGTCGTACTGCATCAGCTACAGGTCATGTGTTATATCGAAGGGAAACGACCACCCAACTCATCGATCCTATGCATGTAGTATTATCGTGATGTAAGGTGAAATGGCAGTATGAGAGAGAGACGAGGAACGAGAAGGGACAAGCTAAGTAACAGGTTTGGTGGGGGGAGGGGAGAGGGGTGCGTGTCAACGGACGCCAAGTCCATTAAAATACGGTTGAATCACGGCGCACAAACCCAATAAGACTCTCTCTCTCTCTCGCTCTCTCCATCATTTGCTCCTGCGATCATCGCTTTCGCTTTCTGGTTTCCTTGTGCGGAAGGGAGGGAGAGGAGACGCACCTCGGCCGCAATAATAGAGGCAGCGGAGCTGGGTCGTGGATTTTGTTCTCGATTTCGGCCGATTAGGGCGGATCTTTTTGGGTGCCATCGCAGTGGTTTTGCTGGGAATTTGGGTCGGAATCGGCGGAAGTGCGCTCCAGGCTTTCGTCTACGTGCCGAGGGAATTTTGGGTGTTACCGATGCGAATTCTGAGTTGTTCCGTCGCCTGGTAAGGGGTTCCGCTCTTTCTATTGGACTAGTTGGACCTTCTGTTGGCTAGGATGTGAGAGATAGGTGGATTTGGGGATTATTAGGGTTCTTATCCTTTGCGATTTGGAGAAGATGTGCCGAAAGACAATAGGATTCTGTTTTAATTCGAATCCCCCTTTCAGCTCTTCTGGATTCTTAGCTGGATTCTGCCTATTTGCTGATTGAATAAGATTGCACTATCATTTATGAGTCGATGCTTTTGATAGACTATTGGTGCACTAGTCTTCCTTGTTGTCATTTTTTATTGTCAATGCTGCTGACGGGGTTTTGGAATTCAATTGTGTGGTTCATGGCTTCACGAAGTTAAAAGAAATAATTTCAGCGTGGATTTATGATATCAATCATGGTGTTACACATGTCAATTGATGTTCTGAAGAATTCTTATGTTGGAACGATCTTATAAACCTTCTATGAACAAACCATGAAATGTCCATACGTTGAATTGAAACCATGAAATATCTACATGGAGTTTGTTTATCATGGTCCTCTAATAGTGCCTTTTTCCCGTCGAGAAATATGTAGTATACAAAGTGTGTAGCATCTCTCTCTCTCTCTCTCTGCGTGTGTGAAACCTTTGCTTTTGAATTCTCTCTCTTACCAGCTGTCTTTCTTCATGGCAATTGTAGAGAAATTATCAATGGAGCAAACTTCGGAAAATTCAGCTCGTTTAGGTAAGTAGAAATGAAATCATGCTTTTTCAACAGTAGCAGAACAAAACTGATCATACACTTTTGATCTTTTGCATAGTTTCCTCAAATTTTCTATCAGTGAAGACTCCAACGAAGGCAGAAAATGCGTGGGACATTCCATCTGGATCCAATGCGCTCTGTGGATCAAGTGATGTTAGCCTTTTCTCAAGCTCATTACCAGTACTTCGTCATGAAAAATGTATGCTGTTCCTTTTAATGGTTACTGACTTTCGGCTATATCATTCAAATCAACTCTATTAATGCTATGTTATTCAGCGAATTTTGCAGATTCACACATCGGTGCTCAATGGACTTTTGATGCATCTTCCAAACTGGAAAAGGGAAACAATGACGCCGAGAGTAAGGTTTGTGTGGATGATCTGGACCTCCATGGGACTGGGATCCTGTTACCTGATGATGAAGAAGCCCTTTTGTCTGGCATATTGGATGATTTCGACCTTAATGGGTTGCCTAGTCAAGTTGATGAACTTGAAGACTATGATCTTTTTGGCAGTGTTGGGGGCATGGAAATGGATTCTGATCCTATAGAAAGCATTACGGTTGGTATTGCAAAGGCAAACATCTCTGATGGCTTTTTAGGCAATGGAATTAGTCAGTATGGTCTTCCTAATGGTGTTGGGACTATTTCCGGGGAACACCCATATGGAGAGCATCCTTCAAGAACTCTATTTGTGCGTAACATCAACAGTAATGTTGAAGACTCTGAATTGAGGTCGCTCTTTGAGGTAAGTGTTTGTAATTCTGTTGCATAACTTTCTGCTTTCAATCTGCTTCAGCTTATATGTAGCTTAATTTGTAGTTGCAAGTATTGCTAATTTTCATGTAGTGAATTCTGTGCAAAAACTGTGAAAATGGTTCCTTCTCCTGGTTTATGTCTTGTTAATTTAAGTTCCCAATTGTTCTAATGTTACTAATATAGAAGCAATTTTTAGAAAGATTAGATTACCTATTCTCTGTTGTCATATGCAAAGCGTTGTAAAATTTTAGAATTGGTGTTGAAGGATTATCTTTTTCTATGAGTTAATAACAATGTGGAACTACTTTTGTTTGGTATATCTTTTAAAGCTAATAACAATGTTGAACTACTTGTATTGGTGTCGGAAGTATTGCTAACTTATTTTCGTTATATATTTTGTTATGTGGAACCACTAAGTTTATAAAATAAGTTATTTTCTTTCTGTTATGAAAACGTTATATAGGAATGTTGGTTGTTGGTTTTCTCTATTCATCTCATGTTTGTTTATCAATAAAAAAAAATGCTGCAACATGGTGAATCCTTTAAATATTGTCCCTTGTGGTACTAGTGCATGCTACATCTTGGTCTATTAAGCAAATATACCAAGTGCTACTTTCAACATTTAGTGTGATGTGGCATACCTACTGATATAATTTGTTTCCAAATCATCATCTTCAGCAATACTATCATGTTCAAGCTTTTTGTCATTGCAGCTGGATTGTTTAAAGAGCACAACTTGGGAGATCAATAAAGCCCTAGATGACAAATTTGTGACCTGCTGCTAACCTAATATTAACCCTAGA